CTTAATCAACCGCTCGGTCACAGCTACAGGACAAGTAACCTTGCCTGCCCCAGCGAGAAAAGCAGTGTGGCCTTCCCTATACTGGTCGTTTTTGCGCTGAGGCACATAAACTGACATATGATCGCTATGTATTGAGACATCACGAAGTGCTATATTCCTAATCTCGTCAATGCGAAAAATGTCTGCAAAACCAACTAAAAGAATAAATAAAAAACGAAGATCGGAAAGTGAAGCGCTTGAGGCAAAATGCGTAGCAATCGCCTGTACGGTGCTAACCGACAGCGGCTTCTTAGGCTGAACAGGTCAGGCAAGCCTTTTTTGGCGCCTTCTAACGCAAACTTTACTAAGGGATGGCTAACAGGACAAGCCTCAATACCGGCCATTGCGTGGCCCCACTTAATAGCATAAAGGGCAGATTCTATAGAAGATACACCGATGTTATTTTCGGAAGAACGCTTAGCTAGCTCAGAGATAAACAGTGCGATATGCAAGGGTTTTGCTGGAATAACGGGAACACCAATCTTCGACAGAGCCCACTCGCGCCACCGCAACCAGCCAGACTTGTACTTCAGCACCGTGGAATGGAGTAACCATTAAAAGATTCAGTGTTACAAAACTAAAACTTCAATTCCTCTAGCAGAGCGGGTGGGAAGAGAAAAATGTGATCACAAGCCGACCTAGACTCTATAGCTAAGTACATCTGCCTAGTCAGAAGACGGGAAATAGGTCCAATCGCTAACGCAACCGAAATAATGGAACCGGCTATCCTGGCTAATTTGCGATAGGACGATGAATTGAATGGCAGAATTCAAAAGCCGCTTAAGCTTGCAGGCCTTCTTTTCGGGAATCTGAAACGTCATAGAAATAGTGTTGATCACAAAACCGAGCCACTCGCCAACTTGCATCGGAACCCAGTGAGACTTCTCCTGGTTAACAAGGAGACCGGAAGAGTCAAGTTCCTTTCGCTGAATAAAAGCTGCTGCGACGGCGGACGTCCTCTCTGGCTGGCTACCAAAACCGTCGTCGAGATAAACAAAAGAGTTATGACCCGTAGATCGCCAGCGCTTAACCAACGGGCACAACAATTTGGTAAAACAAAAACACGCGCTACTGAGACCGAATGGTAAAACCGCGAAAGTGAAATACCTAAGTACGCCGTTAAAGGGCCATGCAAAACCTAGGTACTTTTGGTGGTCTGGAAAAATATCAACATGGTGGTATCTAGATTTGAGGTCCCAGGTGAAGAACCAGTGTCCTTCTTGAAGAACCTGTGACAGCGAGCGAAGTTCCTCGTACTTAAACTTAAAACGAACGAGGTGACAATTAACATGTCTAAGATCGATTAGTCCGCAACTGTCAAAGGGTTAGTACAGCCATTGTCCAAAAGCTCTGAAATTGCGTGAACAACAAAGTCGGGACGCCTAAGAGCTGACAAAATATTACTTAAAAAACACGGAGCTGGATAACTGGCAAAAGGAATCCGATAGCCGTGCGAAATGGTATCGAGAGTAAACTGAGGAGCATCTAACGTGGATGCCCAAAAAGTAACGGAGGACTTTAAACGGCCCTTAACTCCTGCACACACATTGCCGGCACAAAATTCCTCTGAAAAACCAATAGGAAGCAAATCACACTCAACTAAAAAATGAGAGTCCTCCCCTTCATCTAGTCAGTCGCGGCGAAGGTTGGCCTTTGAAGAATCGGACGACTTCGAACAAAAAGCACTCAAGTGGCCAAACTCCCCGCACTATAAAAATAAAAACATAAAATATTGTCAATTAGCCTGATTAGCTGGAAAGGGCGAAAACATAATATAAAACAAAACGAAACTGGGGGTTGTAGGCGTTCACAGACCCGAAGGATGAATACGAATGAACAAGACACTTATATAACCGTATGCAAACTACTTAACACCACTTAAATACCGAGGCACAAACAGACACTATAATACACCTAATTAACCGTATACGAACGTGCAGAAAACAGATATCTGCTAAACTGCGTACCGCAGATATTTTTGCATTTCCTTAAAATCACCCAGCCCCATCCTTAAATTCATATGGCTCTCCCTAGTTAACTGATTCGTGGCTTACAAATTTATTGTTTTATTTAAATTATACATTTATTAACTGGAGCTACGCTTTTAGCCCTGGCTAAATCTATATTTTTAAAACTTGTTAGTTAAACAGGTTTTTAAGGTAATTGTTGATTTTTGTAACGTTTAATGAAATGCTTGCGCCGGACATTTGTTAGACAAGAAGCTTTGCGCTGTCTTGCAAGAAAATATCGTTGCTGACGTTATCTTACACAGCGAACAGAAAACGCGCACAACCGAAATGGCAAAATGAACAAAATGAACGAGACAGCCTCTTCACTTTGACATCAGCGCGGTTCAAGTGTTGAAGGGAATCCCTGGAAATTGGGTCAGCAAACACTTTACAAATAAATCCAAGGGAGACATTCTTTGATTTCGAGTGGTATAGTGTTCCAGCGTCAAGGAGACAGTACTTTTTAAGCCAATTCGTTACTTCACATTAACCGTAATACACCTTGTTTACCCCCCAAAAATTTTGCATAAGAATTGTTTTCAAGTTCTCTTGGGAGCATTGTAAATCCCAACAGGAACTGAAAACAATGCTTATGCAAAACTTTTGGGGGAGTAAAAAAGGTGTATTATGGTAATGTGAAAGAAGCGAATTTGTAATCATGTTTATTGATTAGTTGCATAAATTTACCATCATACTTCGAGTCGACACACCTCTGGCTCTATAAATATGATTGATTAAAACTTCATGAAAATGACAAGAGGACTTACTGTTGGTTATAAGAGAGATTAAGATTCACGTTCACCGCAAACAGCAAACGCCAGACTCAAGTTGAGAATTTTTCAGAATAGAAAATAAGCAGATAAAACCATAAAACCAGTCCCGAACGATTCCTGTGGTTAAAACTGACATAAAACTACTTATTTTTTTTTGTAGAAGCAACAAACAGTTAACGGAAAATAAGGGAAAGACTTGGTCACGTGGTACAAATTCACGTCTCCCGTTTGGCGTAAAAGTGAATCTTAATCTCTCCATTTTGGTGAATAATTGCTAAGGATTATATCTTTTGGTCGATGACCAATGCATACACTGTGAAATCTCTGAGGAGAAAATTAAAGGGTACTGTGGACAGTCATCGTCGAGCGCGCATCATCGCATGTGACAATAATCCCCCCTTTTCCGTTTATTGGGTGGGTAAATGAGAAATAGATGGCGGTCGCGCAACTCGCGTGCTTGTTGAAAGAAAAAAAAATGAAGGATAAAACATCTGGAGGACAGGGCTATGTTGTCAATAAACATGTAAGGATGAGCGGATATTGGTTAGCTGCAGTGTTTTGGGAAGTCTGCTTGCAGACATGTTTTCGGCTTCTTGAAAAGCTAGTTTACGATGCCTGAAATTTCTGCTGAGAGGTGAAATGATCAGTGTTCCACCGCTTTTTTTTTCATTATAAGTATTTTTATTTTGTTCTGCGCTTTTCTATTTGCTTGTCTGTTTCGAGTGGACAAATATAAGCCACGAGATAAATGTAAAACCTTGAAACAAAGGATCGCTTGAAATCATAGCTTTTAAAAATGTTCTTAAGTTATCAATATCGACATTTAAGGGATCGTTCAATAATCCAAAACTGAGGTAGTAATTACAAGAATTAATAACCTTCATTCTTAACGAGCAACGATGAAAACATCATAAATTAACATCGATATAACCTGAGATCAGGCTCTATTTACGTTTGGGTTTTTAAATAAAATTCTGGCGAGAAAAAACGACTACGTAAGAGAGAATGTATAGAGGCTGCTAAAATTGGGCCTGATCTCAGGTTAGTATCAGTGTTTTATTTTGTTTCAGTTGTTGATAATGGTCACATCCTGACCGAAAAGAAGAAAGGAAGTCGTGAGTAAATGGTGGAAGCTAACAGTTTTCTCTCTTTCAGTGTTTTGTGTCCGTCCGTTTATGATACAGCTCCTTTCCAGCAAAAATCTCGCGACACAGGCTCCCAAATTTGCTTACACGCGATTAGGCTGTACTTGCTTTTCCAGGCCCTTTGGGTGGGGTTTAACGTTTTTCCACATAGTAGAAATATAACGGAACTGTAGTTCTTTCAGTATTTGCTCTATATTTTAGTTAGCGTCTCTGTAGCATATTGGTTTTTCTGTCAGTATTTTCTTTGTACTGTAGTTATAGTTCTGCAGCATATTGGTTTTTGTAAATGTCAAGCGCGTGTGCGTTTTCAATAAAGTTGTAAAAAAAACAAACAAAATACAACGAAACTATGACATCAGGGTGTCTGACCTAGAAATGGGTCTTCACATTTAAGACATTTCTTAGAACAGAATGTTGAAGCTGAGCGCTCAAAATCATGATTTTTGTCAGCGAACGGTTTTTTTTTGCCAATCCTTACTGAAACGATTGGCCAAAATCTAGAATTGTGTATTATTTTGAATGCATGATCTTTTTAAAGGGTTTAATTTTAACCGGCTAGTTCGATACTTATCTCACTGAACCGGCTAATTGCAGTTAGTAATCACGTTGGATGTTTTCCAATAGCTTCTTGCGGCGATTTAAACAAAACACACCAATGCAAAATTAAACAAACCTATAACGCTGGAAACAGCTGTTGAGTAAAATGTTTAATTTCGGCTCCACTACGCAGTACAACATGAATAGAAAAACCATTAGGTTTATTTTGGCTGTTTCGGCCGAGCGCCGCAGATATAACAATACATTATACAACATCTATTACATTCAAATATGTGTTGTAAGAACTAGAACAGAGCTGAGCGACAGTTTGCACAGAATACTGTCAGAACAGAGGCCAGAAAAAACCTGCCGGAAAAAAACCTCAGTAAGGAAAAAAACTCGGCAGGAAATGTGGGTAGGATTCATGGCTCATGCTCTGAAAAGCCCATCCTACGAAGGCTACACGGCTGGAAGGACTTCGCCCTTATTTACAAAAC